TATATATATATATATATATATATATATATATATATATTATTTAAAATAAGTTTGGTTCTGCATTTATAACCTAAAATATATACATGCAGTGGGGAGCTTAAGGCTACATAAAAATTAATATAAAAATAAAATATTATTTTTAATTTATTATATTTAATCTCCTCAAATTTTTATACTCCTATAACTAAAATTTTGGCATTCAAAACATTTTTGAAGATCCATCTATTTAATCCTGACAACTTAAAATTGGTCTCACATATTATTGGGGATGAATAGTATAGTGTATTATGAGACAAACAAGAAATGTTATTCATATCACCAGTATCTCATGGTTCAAACTTTTGATGTAATTGCTAACGAATAGCCCAGAAAATGAAAAAAAAAAAAAAAAAGAAACCAACTTCATAGAAAAACTTCACTTCAATATATTTTCTTCTGTTGTGACAATTATATGAATATTATGAGAAAGAACCACCACCAGCTTTAATATCTTTCTGGAGCTGCAATAATAAAAAAAAATAACATATTTAAATATTATTATATTATGATTCAAATAAGTAACAGTAAGAATAGAAAATATGATATTCAGGCTGTTTAATTTTATCTTCGGATAAAATTAACATAAAATATTATAGTACTTACCTTGAATAAGTATTGAAGATGGTTTTTCAACAGAGAATATTCATGTTGCAATTGTTGCAAACATTCCATACACCTACACCAACATTATTTTTCTTAGTAAAAGCAATATCAACACACATAATTTAGTATGAACTGCTAATAATGAATATGCAGTAACCATGTTATATACATTTGCTATCATTTTAAGATTTTAATATCATTCTAAGACTCAAATAAAAAAGGTATACAGTATAACTAACCAGTTGTCAAACTGTTTTCCTACATAGATTAATTTTATAGTAACTAGTGAATATATCTCCTGGAAGATGTCTAGTTGTGAAAACAGCTCATATTCACTAGGAATCATTTTTATCTCAGAAATATTGAACTAAGAAATTAAAAGATTTAGTAGAAAATATGAAAAATGTAAATGTAATAGATTATCCTCCTTCACCAAAACACAGACGGGAAAATCAATGAGCTGTAAGAGCAATTGCATATTTTATCTGCAGTTGAATCAAAGTGGGGTATAGACTTTGCAGTATAGTCAAGCCAACATAAACTGACAACTCAATCATTTCAAATATGAGTATGAACAAAATTATAGATGATAATATTCTCAAATCTTCCTGTCTCTATAATTTTTAATAGGAGAATTTGAATTTCTACAATTATCTAACAGCAAAATTAGTTCTTCCGGACTATAAGATTTGATGGAAAAAACAAATCTTCAGTGACAGTATGTCCAGTTTAATTTGATTTCAGTGGTTAAGATGACACCTAGGAATCAAACTACTGTAAATGAATTTTTTTCACTGACTAAAATTACACTTCCATCTCCTTGGGTAGTTTCTCACAATCTAAATAAAAAGTATTTGTTTACCTTTAAAAATAAAGGCTTCAAATAATTTTGTTAAATATTACAGAAAACATTTTCCTAAATGGGCAAGATCTAACTTCTCAAATGTAAAAGAAAAAAAAAAAAAAAAAAAATATATATATATATATATAATTAGATCTAAAATGACCTAATAAATATGAAATTCAAAATATAATATCCATATAAAACATTAACATAATTTAAATTTATAATAAACTAAATCCAGTTATTATAAATATTAATATCATTTATTATTATTATTATTATTATTATATATATATTAATATGTTATTATATTTTGAGTTTATAAATATACATGGAACTTAATCCTAATTTTTTACTTAAATACTTAATGAATATCTTTTATTGGACAACAGGTAAAATTTTTTGTAAGAGCAATTACCATTCTTAAATTAAATAATTTAATATGAAAATGTATTAAAAAAATGTAGTTGATATAATATATTACTCTTTTATTTCCAAAAAAAATTTATATAAATATTTCTAACAATAGTTTATTAACTAAACCGAACTGAATCATGTTTAAAAATCATAATTTACGGCATTCATAATTTATTTACATTCGCGATCAGATATGAAAGAAAATTTGGTTCCAAAGAAATGTCTTTTTCTTTCTTTAGAAGCATCTGTATATGATTGTATATATATTCTATAATCATTTTATATTACTATAAATTTAGGCAAACCACAATTAAATTTTTCTATTGTTGCAAACATTTTCTTTTAATATACAAATTTAGACAATCACAGCTAAATTCTAAAATTGTCCTGAAGAGTCTCAATAATTCTTCCTTAATTTTTGCCATGTCTTTAAAAGTATGTTACTATAAATTTTTTTAAATCATCAAACAAGAAAAGTATCTTAAGGAAATTCTTCCTCCTAAATTAAAATGAAAATCAGAAACCTCTTAAAAGATCTCCAAATCAGAATAGGTAGAAGAAACTATATTTCCTACTTTTGCAATACATAGCACAGAATTCTGTCATTCAAATTTTTTAGAGGAATTTTAAAATCAATTGCAGCACCAATTTAAGATGTATTCTATTAGTAGATCTCTGAAACTTTTAACAAAAGTTCAGAAATCACATGTAAAGTTGTCTATTGACTTGACCACCTAATAAACTCCAGAACAGAGGAATAAATGCCAAATCAAGATAATTCACATGATATAAGATATGATTGATGGATTCAAGAGAAATATGTAAGAACACACTCACCCGTCCAGGTTCTTAGTCTCACAAAAAGGCCTGAAGTTAGCGCAAACACTTTTAACTCTTGCAGCACCAACACTGTTGAACAAATTAAATATTATCCCACATGAAAAGAAAAACTTCCACAGTAATACATAAAAAAATTAAACATAGCATGACACCTGGCACTGCTTCCCTTGTACTGATGGGCATAAGCATCTATTTGTTTGAAATCAGCAGGCACTTGTTCTCTGCATAACCAGTCAAACCCAACCATCATTCACAATATTCATACATAAACAAAATCAGTCAATCACACAGTAATACTTACAAACAACGTGCCATGTTTTTTATGAGATTCTCAGAATCATCAAAGAACATGGTGACAACCTCCAGCACAAAATCTGGAGTACTCTCATCCTGCAGATTCTGAAGCTGGCTGAATTGATCATCCAAGAACCCCTTCTCCATGCCAACAAAAACAAATCCAAAATCACCAATCAAATAATACAAATTGAAAACAGTAATAATCAGGGTTTTGACCAGATTTGTGATTAAAAAAATAATAATTAAAATTTAATTATTTTTAATATTAATAAAAGAAAAAGAAGGGTTAAGTTTCGTGGACGGAAAATGACTTGGCAGTGGTAGAATAGGATACAAACATGGGGACCAACGGCGACGTCGTATTATGATATATTTGAACGTAAAGAAGAATGAACAGTAGCAATGAAAAAGCAATTAGAGTGAAAGAGAAAAGAGAAAGGAAACGAACCTGATGAAACATGGCAGATTGGTGTTCGCACAGCTTGGCCCGCAACTGATTAACATCCATGGTCATTTTCTATGGTGTCAGATCTTGACTTGAAGTTCAAAATTGAAAGAAAATTCCGTGTCTCTCAGAATGAAAATTGGCGAACCCTGATTCGCAATTTGACCACTCGCTGCTCACTACTACGCCTTCTTCCTTCCGAATGCTTCTCTCTTTCTTTCAGGGACACCCTTTTTTATTCCGTGACAGTTATAAATGCCGTGTATATTAGTTTTGAATGTTCATAAATACATTTAAATTTCTGTTTAATTCTTTTCAATTTCTTTTATTATTTTTCTTTTTTTTCCAAAATACCATCCAATGTTCTTTGTACTATCTGTACGCGTGTCAATGCATGGAATTTTAAAAAATAAAATAAAATATGTTTAGTTTATAACTAAAATTTAATATAAATATTTTATTTTGTAAAATTGAATAATAGTAGTTTATTATTTTTATTACTGAAATGTATTTAAGCTATGTATATATTTTTTTAATAAAATGTACTTTATTATATAACTATTTGTAATAGTTAAATCAATCGAATTAAAAATTAAAAAACTAAAATATTTAAATATAAATAAAACCATAGTTAATAACTTCACTTGTCTACACAGAGGTATGATTTAATAAATAATTGAACTAACTATATATTAATTATAATAAATAATTCAATATTTATTTATAATAAATAATTCATATTTTTAAACAAATTTAATAGTTGAAAATTATATACAAAATAATCAAAATAAAAAATATATATAAATGAAACCATAGTTAATAATTTCACTTCTAAACGGTATACTTTAACGTTAAAGAATTAAGGGTAATTGAACTAACTATATATTAATTATAATAAATAATTCATTATTTATTTATAGTAAATAATTCATATTTTTAAACAAATTTAATAGCTGAAAATTATATACTATATATATATATATACATACATATATATATATATATATATATAATATTATTAATTTGAAATATTTTTTTAAAATTTATTATTATATAATTAAGACTCTAAACACTATTACAAATAATTTGTAAAGATTTATAAACTTCATAAATATAATTAGATTTGGTTAAGTGTCTTTCATTCAATTAATTTTGTTATATAAATTTAAATATTGATATGATTACAAATAAAATATTCATGTTTTTACTTTTATAAGAAAATTGTAATATATTTATTTTATTATTCAATTTTATGTTTAATATATGATTATAATATATTTATTATATAAAATTTTAATATATTTATTAAATATGATGTTGATTAAAATTTATTTTTATCAAATAAAATATTAAATAATATATAACCAACAAAGAGAAATATAATTATTTGTCTAACATTATTTTACAGATTCATACTCATACTGTTATGGGTGATGTCATATTATTTAATATTTGTCGTTATAAAATTATAATAAATTTATTTTTAAAATTAATAAAAAGGCAATAGATTATATCTTTTTGATAACCATTACAATTTTCTTTAGTTTTTTAAGTTATATTGAACTTTTCATTATCTAAATATATTTTTTAATATATATTTTACAAAATCAATGTGATAGTTAGAAAAAACATGGTTAAGGATGATAAAATGAGCTAGGTTTGGAGCAACCAGTCAATCATTAAAAATAATTAGGATAAAGATTTTAATTTGCCAAATTGCCTTTGAGTTCTTCACAACCTAACGCACCAATTTGCAAGTCTAACCAAATAGCTTGAACCTTTTTTTTTAGAAGTGTGTTACAGTGTTTTCTTTTAATAGGTTGCTTGCGAACTTTCTTACTCAGACACTCTCATATTTTAAACTTTTCTCATCTTGTTCTCGTACTCATTCACTCAGCCACCACGATGTCGATAAAGCAACCACAACCATGAGTGTAGGATGAGTGCGTCGCGAGCCAACAACACAACATCAGTGCATACGCGAGCCGACACCACCAAACATAAACATCTTAAAGGAGAGCAATGACCACCACCAGCATGACTTGATGAATGAAGGTGGTTTCAAATTAGTAGTGGTCACCCGATTCGAGGAACATGTTTCACATTTTGTCCTATTTCGCATTTTGCCCTATTTTCATGAACATGTGTTGATGGAACATAAATATACTTATGATGTTGCAATGGACTTGTTGTTGTGTATGATTTCTTAAAGTGTTCATGTTGTAATAGATTTGTGATTGCGCATGATTTCTGAAAGTTTTTATTTGAGATGTTGTTAAGAACCAGAATGTTCGTCTAAGATCTAAGTGATAATGCCACAACAATCATACTTAGTTGTAGTCTTGATTCATGTTCTTTTTTTGTCAAATTTTTTAATTGTGAAATGTAGAGTAAGAATCTTTGTTCTGCCTTGTAGCTTTATGAATCATGATGATAATACTTGCTTAGTACATAAGAATATGAAACATAAATATTTATTGCAACACAAAACACTTGAACTAGTTTTGCATTTACAAGAAAAAATATCTCAAATTAGATATCGACTATCAAATCAATAAAAAAAGAAAAATTAAAACTAGACAAGTTATGTGTTTCAGTCTATTTTCATTTGGTGGACTAGCCCAATCCGATCCGTTTTCAACCGGTCAAGGATGGATCAGACTAAAACAGGTTGAGCTGACTCACTTTGTCACCATCAAAACTCCAAATATAATATTATATCCATATCAATATAGTTACAAACATAATGTAATGTTTGGATTTGAAAATGAATTGTGTAAAGTGTATTTAAGGAAAGAAGGAGGTGAAAATGAGAGATTATTTGAATTAAAGGAGAGATGATGATAAATAAAAGGATTTAAAATAAATGTTTGTGAAAGTTAATCAAAGTTAATCAGTGATGCAATAGTTTTGGTAGATTAAAAAAATATTTTAATTGATAAAATAAAATAGTATCTCTTGATTATAAAAGTAATTTAAAATAGGTTTAATACATCATTTGGTCCCTACTTTTAGGGGTTTGGGTCAAAGTGATCCTACCTTTTTAAAAAGTTCAGTAAGACCCCATATTTCGTTAAAAAATGTTCAATCCGGTCTTTTTCACTCACGCCGTTAAAAACATAACGATGCAAATGCCACCGTGGCCAAACCTGAGTGAGTTGTGTAGTTTGATGAATATGTGACACGTTTGAAGAGGTTGCACTGTGTAAATCCTCTCTCTTGAGCTACTAGCTAGGTATCTTTTTGCAAGTGAAGAGTTTCAATGCATATGAGAGCCACGGTAAGATGAAGAGAAATATTATATTTTCTTTCTGTATAGTGTAGACGTTGGAATCCAGAGAGTTAGAAGGGGTTCTTAATATTGGCATTTAATGGTTTTCGTGGTACCTACCTCGGGAGGGAAATCATAATATGGTTAATACCAAGTGCATGAAATTGTTGTTGTGCATATGCTGTTATGTCCCTTGTTGATAGGTAAAGTACGCAAATGATATTCTGGGGTTGCATGGGTGGATTATAAGAATGGTGAAGGGCTACAGGCTAAGGTTTTCGTTGTGCAGATTTTAAATTTTGGATCTATAAAATATGTCTAGGGAAGTTAAAAGAGTTTTCTTTAAATATAAAAAGATTGATGAGAGAGGTGCAGAGGTTATCTAATGGTCACAATTTTGTTGTTAATAAGCAAAGATTCTTTGTTTAATTATATTGATGTCGTCTTATATTGATGTCATCCTAACATTGAAATGTTTAGTTTCATGGGTTTCGAAAATTATATCATTTTTGAGTTATTATTGAGTGGAATAGTATATAGAGTGATATATGGTGAAATCTAGAGGTTGGTATATAAAACTGGTGCATTGTTGGATAGTGTCCAGAGAAATATTCTCCCTCTCTCTAATCAATACATCAATATCTCTCTTCAACCATTAAAAGCCATTTACGTTTCTCTTTCTCTACATTTAATTCTTCAAACACCCATTTACATTTCTTTTTCTGCATTTAATTCTTTCAGCCACATATTCATCAAAAGCACAACTCACTCAGGTTTAGCCAGACATTTTCACCGTTATGTTTTTAACAGTGAGTGAAAATGAACAGATTGAACATTATTTAACGAAATATGAGCCTTACTGAAATATTTTTAAAAGATATGATTACTTTGAACCCAACCCGTAAAAGTAGGAACCAAATCATGTATTAAACTTTTAAAATATATTATTATTAATAATATTAATATTAATATTATTAATAATATATTATTATTGTTAATATTATTATTGGTTGAATAATTTTAATAAAATATTACATTATAATAAAATTAACATTATTAACAAATAATTATTATTGTAATTAATATAATAAAAATAATTGGTGTGATCTCGAGACACAACAAATTGTCGCTTATCTGTACAAGAATGGAAGGATACATATATGACATCCACATGCAATTTTTCTCTTTCAAATACCTTTAAATCCTCCGTAAAAAAAACAAACTATTTACTAACAAATCCATCCATTTATACGGTGCATAAGCGAAACAAACACAACTAAGTGTAGAATGACATTATTAACAAGGATCTGATTTTTGTGTTAATGAAAGAAGGGAGAATAATATCTGGAGCGACCGATTCTTCGACCCGCACGTGGTTGTGGGGATTCATATAATTTTTCTGTTTCACTCCTCCAACAACTCCTTCCACATTATACTTGTCATCTCTCCCTCCCACTTTTTTATCCCGACCCAAATACAATTATTCTTTGTCGGATATTTTTGCTCAAATTTATTACACTTCCATCCAATTCTTTCAACATTTTTCTTTTTAATTTTACTATTGTCTTATTAGTAATTTTAATAATAATAATAATATTTATACAGATTATTTACGAGCGAAACTGTGATTAATACTATTGAACGTATATTTATCCATTCCAAAACATCAATATTCAAGATTATGAATATTGAATTAGTATCTGGGTATGAAGACAATGATAAAAGCAAAAGTATATATATGATGACTATTTAATAAGAATTGTGCGGCCTCAATTCACTTAGCATATATCGTGTCTGTATGCAATGTGGTGCAGTTGATTGGTATGAACATTCCAAGAGCTACTAACAATTATTGAAGATTATGCACTTCCACTACTCTCCAACACAAATCAATTTTTTCGATCAAATGCTTCCAAGAGACCCAAATCTTAAAACAGATTTTGTTTACATCCGAAAGTTTATAGTGCCTTTCTTTTTGTG